TTCCAAATCCATTAATGAATTAAAAAACGATGATTTATCCGAAACATAACGTGAGATATAGTTTTAAGGAAAATATAATGATCAAAATATGTAAACCATAAACCATCCACCTCTATTGATACAGAAATTCGAACTTCAGGTTTGTTCGTCATCATCTCTTACAAACGACCCTGTAAATCAATTTACCTAAACTTTTAGTTGAAAGTTTTAGTTTCTACTGCTCTTTCTAATTAATCATAAGACATGAATTATGACTTCATTTCTCCCTATAATTTTGTGAAAATCTTTATTTGGACTCTTGATTGAAAATACAAAAGATTATGAGTTAAAATAAACACCAAAATAATAACCTATCACTTCATAAAATTAATAAATACCAATCAATGTGATTGAAAAAAGGGATACCATATGGATAAAAAAAGTTATGATTAAACATTATATATAAGTTTGTGTGTATATATAATTAAAGGAATAAATATGCTTAAAACGTATTAACATTTGTATGTAAACTGTTAGGTATGACTCATAAATGTACCAGGTTTATCTATTATAAATAGATATGTAACCTAAACCTATGTGAAATTAATAAAAACTTCTAGCGCCGTCTAGGCACCGAGGACGTAAGCACATTGTTGAACCTCGTTAAAATTATTGTGTTCTTTCATTTTTCTTTACCCGATTCATCAACAATTGGTATCAGATGTCAGGAGCAAAATTCGAAGTTGCGAAATTCAATGTTACGAAATTCGATTGTCAGGGTAACTTCGGTTTATGGAAAACAAGGGTAAAGGATCTGTTGGCGCAGCAAGGGATCCTGAAGGCTTTGCGACCTACAAAGCCGGCGTCGATGGAGGAGAAAGATTTGGAAGAATTGCAACAGTGAGCGGGCAGGAACCATACGGTTATGTTTGGCGGACGAGGTCATATATCACGTCATGCATCTGTCGTCTCCAGATGAAATTTGGAAGAAGTTGGAAAGTCAGTTTATGTCGAAATCCTTAACGACTAAAATGTATCTAAAGAAGCGGTTATATGGGCTGAAGATACAGGACGATCATGATTTGACGCAACACGTGAATGTCTTCAATCAAATCGTTTCTGATTTGGCTCGGGTTGATGTGAAAATTGAGGATGAAGACAAAGTGATGATTTTATTGTGTTCGTTACCTCCATCTTACGAACACATGGTGACCACTCTTATATATGGGAAAGAGACTATCAAAGTTGAGGAGATTACTGCAGCCTTGTTGGCTCACAACCAGCGGAAACAGAATGCAGGGGAAAGCTCTCAAGCTGATAGCTTATATGTCAAGGGTAATCGAGACCGTAGACGGAAGGCAGGTCTGGAAAGTGGAATTCTAGATCCAAATTTAGGGACAAGAAGACAATTCACTGTTACAAGTATAAGGAGGCAGGACATATGAAGCGAGATTGTTCGAAGTTGAAAAAGTAGACTGATGAGAAGTGTGATGACTCATCCAAGTCTGTGAATGTGGTCGATGATGACAATTTGGATTGCAGTGAGGGTGATATGCTCTCTATTTCAATGACTTAATTGACGGATGTTTGGATTCTTGATTTTGGATGTTCTTATCACATCACGCCAAATAGGGAATGGTTTTCGACATACATGTCGGTTAATTCTAGTTCTGTTTATTTGGGTGATGATCGATGTTGCAATATTGTTAGTATTGGTGATGTTAGAATTAAGATGTATGATGGCTCTGTTCGGACGTTGAGTGGTGTTCGACATATCCCAAATTTGAAGAAGAATTTGATTTCTTTGGGCACCTTGCACAAGAATGGTTTTATCCCTAAGGCTGATGAGGATAGGGAAACCATTCGGATTGTTAAAGGAGCTTTGACTGTGATGAAAGGAAAGATGATTGCAGGGAATATTTACAGATTGTTAGGGAGTACCGTTGTAGGTGGAGTTCATTCTGTTGAGTCATGTGATGATAGAACCAAACTGTGGCATATGCGTCTTGCCCATATTAGTGAAAGTGGTATGGCTAAATTACATAAAAGAAATATGTTGCATGGTGTAAAAAGTTGTAAGCTCGACTTTTGCAAGTATTGTGTTCTTGGTAAACAGACTAAAGTTCGTTTCAAGACTGCGAAGCACACAACTGAAGGGATTCTTGATTATGTGCATTCTGATGTATGGGGGCCTTCCACGACATCGTCTTTGGGAGGATCTAGGTATTATGTTACCTTTATTGATTATTTTTCACGGAAAGTTTGGGTGTATTTTTTGAAGCACAAGTATGATGTTTTTGAGAAGTTCAAGCTATGGAAACCTGAGGTAGAAAACCAAACAGAACGAAAAATCAAGTGTTTATGGTCTGACAATGGTACAGAGTAAACAGATTCACATTTTCTAAACTTCTGTAAGGAGCATGGGATCAAGAGGTATTTTACAATGCGCAAGACACCACAATAGAATGGTGTTGCAGAACGGATGAACAGGTCGTTGAATGAAAGAGCCAGATGTTTGCGGTTGAATGCGGGGCTTCCCAAACACTTATGGGCTGAAGCTGTTAACATGTCGTGTTACCTTATCAATAGATCGGCAAAGGCATCATTGGATGGGAAAGTTGCAGAAGAGGTATGGACTGGTCACGACGTTACTTTTGATCACTTACGGATTTTTGGTTGCCTTGCTTATGTGTATGTACCTGCTGATGAGAGATCCAAGCTTGATGCAAAATCAAATGAGCGCATTTTTTTGGGTTACAAGAAATGTGTCAAATAATTCAAGTTTTGGGATCCAGTTGCGAAGAAAATCGTGATCAGTAGAGATGCTGTTTTTGATGAACATCCCATGTTGCAGCAGAAGGAATACACGATAGTGGTGGATTTCGAGCAGTTTTTAGTTGAGAAAACAGAAACTTCTCAACCGACTTCTGGTAGTTTCGTTATGGATGATTTGTAGGATTATAGTCTCACGAGAGACATGGTGAGATGGACTAATATAAAGCCTCCGAACATATTGGGTTTTAAAGACTTGGTCTCTTTTGCACTTACTGTTAACAGTGATGATCCAGTTACTTTTCATGATGCAGTTACTAGTCAGGATAACGACAAGTGGATGGCTGCCATGGTTGAGGAGATGGAGTCTTTGATTCACAATCGTGCATGGGAGTTAGTTCGTCTTCCTGAGGGTAAGAAGTCGATTGGTTGCAAATGGGTGTATAAGAAGAAACCAACAGTAACAGAAAAAGAATGGGATTTGCATTTAGAGCAGATGGATGTAAAAACTATTTTTTTTGCATGGTGATTTAGAGGAGCAGATTTACATGCGACAGCCTGAAGGTTTCACTCAACCTGGAAACGAGCATTTAGTTTGCAGATTGAAGAAATCTTTGTATGAGTTGAAGCAGTCTCCGAGACAGTGGTACAAACGGTTTGACTCCTATATGATCAAGATTGGCTACAAGCGATGTGAGTATGATTATTGTCTATATTAAGAGCCTTGATGATGGTTCTTTTATTTTTCTGTTATTGTACGTTGATGATATGTTAATTGTTGCGAAGAACATGGATGATGTTATCGGCTTGAAAACTTTATTGAGACAGTAATTTGATATGAAATATTTAGGTACTGCAAAGAAAATTCTTGGAATGAAAATTTGCAAGGACAGAGACTCAAGGAAACTGTGGCTATCTCAATGGGGTTATGTTGAGAAGATGCTAGAAAGGTTTGCGATGAGCAGCGCAAAACCAATTAGCACTCCATTGGCGAATCACTTTAAGCTCTCATCAAAATAGTGCCCTAAGACATATAAGGAAGCTGAAGATATGGCAAAGGTTCCGTATTCTAATGTTGTTGGCTGCTTGATGTATGCAATGGTATATACTCGTCCTGATTTAGCTCATGTTGTTAGTCAAGTTTGTAAGTATATGTCTAAACCTGGTAAGCAACATTGGGAAGCAGTCAAGTGGATCTTTCGGTACTTAAAGGGTACTGTGGGACATGGAATTGTTTTTTGTAGTCAGCGAGATAATCCTTTGGTTGTAGGATATGTGGATCCAGACTATGCATGTGACTTGGATAATAGAAGATCTACGATAGGGTATGTCTTTACTCTTGGTAGAGGGCCTATTTGTTGGAAGTCTACTGTTCAATCTGTTGTGGCACTATCTACAACTGAAGCTGAATACATGGCAACGGTTGAAGCTGCAAAAAAAGCTTTATGGCTTACTGGTCTACTGAAGGAGTTGGGTGTTCAGCAAGGTGGAGTTCAATTGCTTTGCGACAATCAAAATACTATTCACTTGGCTAAAAATCAGGTATATCGTGCTAAAACTAAGCATATTGATGTACGTTTTTACAAGATCAGAGAGTTGGTTGCATCTGGAGAGATTCTGTTTCAGAAGGTACATACTGATGAGAATGCCGCTGATATGTTTACCAAACCAGTTACGACAGACAAGTTCAAGCATTGCTTGGACTTGTTGAATGTTTCGAGTTGTTAAAGAAGTAAGGTAACCCAACCCACATTGAATGTATCCAAAGGGGTAGGATATTCGCTAAGGTGGAGATTTGTTAGGTATGGCTCATAAATATACTGGTAAGCACATTGTTGAACCTCGTTAAAATTCTTATGTTCTTTTGTTTTTCTTTACCCGATTCATCAACATAAACGAATAGAAAAAACAAGGAAGACAAAGAAAATTTGTTTTTAAAAAAAAATTAAACGAGACATTTTTACTGATATTGGGGAGGACCAGAACTGTTTCTCGTCTTCATCATGATACTAATAAACTTTCACAATGTTTAATTGGCATTCCATTTGATTAATAAACAAAATAATCAGAGATATTAATAAAAAACCATTCAGACATCCCATCCCCATCCCCATGATCCTGAAACAAGAACGCTAGCTGAAAGTTTATATGGCTAGATCCGATGAATTTTTTTGAAATTAAAGCAGTAATGGTTTAGCATATCAACATCAAACACTACACACAGACTAATCATTTTGATATAAGCCATATCTTTGCATAAAAATGGCAGACAAAACAAACCAAATCCCATGGCATTAACTCACCAAAGAACAATAAAGAAAAGTCATAGTCCTATTTGTATTTGCATGTAGCTAATAGTTTACTCTCGGCACTCACTATATTCACCTCGTACTAGAAACATTAAGAAGATAAAGAAACCTAAAGAGAAGATTCACTTGGCAGTATTTCCAGGGGTTGAAATGGCAATATCAGGCCAAGAAAAGCAATCCCCGCCAACAGAACCAGGCTCTCCACCTTCAAACTGCCATATATTCCCCATTCCCATGGCAGCCCCAACATTGCCACGCCCACCAACAACAGAAGCAGCAGCAGTTCCATCTCCTACGCCCGTAAAAGGCCACATTCCTCTTCCAAGCCCAAATCCAATATCCTCGAGCGTTGGAGAAATACCATGCCCAAATCCACCAAGAGCTAGAAAACCAGGCCCCTGAGTATTCAACAATGAAGTAAAACTTCCAAAAATATTGCCCTTGGACTCTCCACCAATACCAATACTTCCCTGATTGGTAGAGATTGGCGACAAAACGGGGGTGGTAGGTAATGGGAAGTTATGATGATTAGTGGCCGTGGTGGTGGTGGCAGTGTTGGTTGCAGAAAAAGCTGTGCCATGGGTGGTTGTGGTGCTGTTGCTGCGTGAACGCTTAGCATTTTTCCTGGTACCACCGCCGATAGGGATGTCCCTAAGGGTGCCACCATGAGTCCAGTAACGGCGACAGGACTTACAGAAATAGCGAGGCTGAGAGAAGTTATAGTTGTTGTAGTAGCAAAACTTAGTGTTTGTGGAGTCACAGCGTGGACAAAGCAGTTGCTCTTGTTCCGGGGGTGGGGCTCCATGGGACTTGGTTAAACGCCTGTTTTGATCCCCGGAACTTAACGTCATTTTGAGACAAAACAAAAGTGGGTTAAATTAGAGTATTTTCTTCAAGTGAACGCTTGCGGATGTTAAGGAGAGAGTGAAGACGGAGTTTTATGGGGAGAGAAAGAGGAGAAGAAGAGAATCTATTGAGACAGTGAAACAGGCCGTGATGGAGTGGGAAAAAGCAGGCTTTACGGTGTTTTGGGCAATAGGTTATCATCAGTCGGATGCAGAATGAGCTCTGACGCTCTCTGTTGATGGTGTTTCTCTATTGTTAGCTGTTTAAGTTGCTTCCTATTGGATTTTCTAGCTTTTGGGCTTTGTGCCCAAAAAGAAAAAGTTAATCATCAGATGTGGAGAAGCAGTCAAGTAATGGTCCCATTGAGTGTAGTTTTCTGGTTTCTGTAATGATATCTTCCAATTCGGATACATGTAAACAATAATGAAAGACGACAGCAAAGTTCAAAGAATATAAAACTTTTAATTCTGATCATGGCAGAACTAAATTCATAATGTAGTAGATTGTAAGAAAATTTACAAGTTTACTTTAGGACAGCCACATTCGAAGCTAATATGAAGACTGTCCATGATATTTCTAGTTAACAATTTTCTTTACCCATGGCCATGAAGAAAACTGTGAGAACTTCATCAACATCTTTTTCAATTCAACTCTTAAAGACTCCAATGCATTGAGTGAAAAATGTGACATTGCCATCGTCCTAACAATGAATAGACTGAACCAAAAGAAGTATAGACAAGCATGCCGAAGGGTTCAGCTAATAATGCCAACTACCCGACAGTTTCTGGCTAAGCATTGGGAGCCAAAAGACTTGGAAACAAAGAACTGAAGTGATGGTCAAAGAAGTAATAGGATAGAGAAATTGATGGAGGATGACAGAATCACGAGTGTCGGTCGCGTGGGGGTCAATTATTGGGTCTCCCCTCTGATATTTCCGACACTTGACGTCCGTATCCAGATTCCTGCTCCGTACCACACCCTCGGTTCTTCCCAATCTTCATGTCGGATTTCTCGCTTTTCTACTGTTGTTAATTTCTTCGTTGCTTGTCCATCTTTTCACATGTTCACCGTTGATTTGTTTCATGTTTATAGCTCCAGCAGGAACGGAGAGCAGCCATTGCAGGAAGAGATGCTCTCTCTTCAATGTCGGAAAATTGAACAGTTTCCTAGGTTATGAACCCTGTCCTAGGTTATGAACCCTGTCCTTGTGAAAAATATCTATAAATATTATAGTAGTAGTTTATGAAGAGCAAAACCTAATATATCTTGTATGTTTGGCGTTTTGATATAGGATAAATTACACCCATAGTCATTAACATTTAAATAAATTTTAAAAGTTATATTATAGTCATTAAAGCTATTAATTTATAATAAAATAATTACTTTATACAGAGACATAACTAGAATTAAATACTGAGAAGGATAAAATTATTTTATATTAAAAGAATAAAAATTTATTAAGAATTTAAATCTAAAAATTGAAATGGATAAATATCTTATTTGACTAATATTTAAATTAAAAATACCTAAAATATCATTATACCAAAAATTTTAGGAGGGACAACAACTATTCCTAGTCATTGTAATTTCGTCTCTAAGTCTATAGTTAATGTATGTTAAATTAATGAAGTGATATATTAATAAAAAAATTAATTTTTAATATAATCTTTAACATATTACTAACACATCAGTTTAATCCTTCAACATATTTTAACCAAAGAATTTGCAGATCTCGAAGATTTTGATTTATATTGGTTATTTTCCCCTTAAAAAACACCTAACTTTGTTTTGGGTAAAGATAAAAAAAAATTGGGAGTAAGGTAAAGATAAAATCTTTAATTTTTGAAGAGGGAGGCACAAATGAGACGGAAGCCAAATCTTCGGTTTAAATTGGCGGCTTGGCAGGTCGGCCCATACCCGATGTAACCTTCGTGTTTGCTGAATATGGCCAATTTATTTTTGTAGTCCTAAGCTTATTTGAAATTTAATTTGATTTCCGATTATGTTAAATTATCTTAAATTCTAGTAATTACGCATTTTAACTCTATTTTAATGCAATATCATCCTTACTTTCTTTGTGTCTTATTGCTTTATGATTATGCCTCTAATTTTATATTTATTCATTTTAATCCCATTATTTACTATTTTATTTCAACTTGGACGTTTTTGTTTACTTTTGCTGGTTATATTTAATGTTAACACATCTTAACACTATAATTTATTTTATTAGTTTAAGATAGCATCTTAAGGTAAATAATTGGATCATTTTTAAAATTTTGACTCGAATTTGTAATTTCTATTATTAAGACAATATTAATCATGTTGGTATCGATTATGGGTGATGTGGGGGTGTTTATCCTTCCTCAAATGTAATTAACTACTGAATCCTATCAAACGAATCACTAGTAAGACATAGATCCGATAAAAAAATAATTTTTAGGTACTCGACCTTAGCTAACCCAAAAAGTTAGTGTCGACTCCAAAATGTAAAATCTTCTACTTAAGTCGAGATTGATTCGAGCTTTTGAAGGATAATTTCGACAGTTGTGATCCAATAATAAAATTTCATACTTTGTAGACATCATTATCATATTAAAGTTGTTGAAGAGTTGACGATTGTGTTTCAACAAATATTTTTCTTAGGTAAGAATTAAAGTTGTTATATATTGGCTCAACTTCTAATTGGTAACTAAGTTTTATTTTATTGTAATCTAGTGGTTGAAAATTATTTGGTAATTAAGTGTATTTACTATTTAGATAAGAATTTTTATGAGATAAGAATTCTCGATGAAAAATTTGTTTCATATATAAACAGATAGTAAGTTTTAACCTTTAGAACCATGGGAAAAAAACATTTTAGATATATATAATTTTTTTATGATTGTTGTAAATTTTAGGGTTTATCTTATAAATGCGAGTTTTGTATTGATGCTAAAAGAGTAATTTGAGATGAATTGTATTTTGAGATATATTAGATATCATGTATTTGTCATCTACGTGATATCTACATTCATAATAAATAATTGTTTCTCTTATCTGATAATGTAAACAAAATCGAACCACATTAATCAGAGTTCTTGTGCATATCTTATTTGGTGTTGCTTAAACATTATTTACTTTCCCGTTTACAAATTCCTAACATTGACTTTAAATCAAGTCTAAAATCAACTGATTCATTCTATTCAAACTCAATTTATAAATTTTGATATAAAACTAAGTGTCTATAATGATTCTTTGATACTTGAGAAAATATGTGGTACACATAAATTCAATAGACATGACAATTAAAAATAACGATAATAAAGAAGCCAAGGTAGTGTATGACCTTACTAGCCTCCACAAGAACGAAGTTAGGATGAAAGTTCGAGACCTGTCTATTATATATAGTAATAAAATAAAAATCATGATTTAAATGTTAACTTTTCGATTTAAAATTTTTAATACTGTGAGATTAGAATCTAACTTGATAAATTTTATAATTGTCAACGATTTAAAATGTATTTAAACAAAAATGGAGGTTACCCTTAATTTATCTATGATCAAATTAACACTGACCTTAAAAATATTTAATAAAAAAAGGAAGAATATAGGCTTAGTTTTCTTAATTTTTAATTAAGAGGATTTAAAAATAATTAAAACTAAAAATTTTGGGGTAAGGCCACTTCCACACTACATGTACATGCATGGTTAAACGTTGACGAGACTATCATGGTATATATTTTCAAGGCTTAAAAGAGTCATCTTGCCCATTTAATAAACACAAATCATCATTTTTGTTTATATTATATTTTTATTATATCAATTTTATCTTCAAATTCATTTAAATCCTTCAATTTCACTTTTGATTAACGTTTTTTTAAAAGGAATGTTTGTGTGATTTAATTGATGAATCACATACAAACCAAAACCGCAACCACATGTCTCATTAAAAAAGATCTCTCTAGATCTAGATGGAGGAAAAAGAGTGCACTATGGTTAAGAATACCTACCAAAGAAAGCTATCCAAACAAGAAAGAGCCACGAACGATCCACAGCTAACAACCTTGATCACAAGGACACTACTACACAGACAATATGCCAGATAAAACTTCCAGCCAAACAATAAGAGTTTTAGACATGGTGAACAAGACCATCAACGCACTCAAATATGTCTGAGCTTTGGGGCAACTTATTGTTGGTAAAACTGCACCTCACACATTCATCCAAGCTGAACTTGAGGACGTTGGACCTCGAGAAAAGAAATACCCTGTGTCAACCACTAAAAGTCTCCATAGAATAATTCACAATCCAGATGAAACAGAACCAGGGAACTAATCAAAAGCACCGAGCACTCCACAAGACCACATGCACTAGTTCTTCCACCATGAACCCACATAAACTAGATCCTTCCATTACTTCGCACCACACATCTAAATCAGGACAGCCTTTTGCAGTTTGGATTCCAGACTTAACCACAATGAAGGTCCTCTAATCATTATATCACCTTCTGGACACTTTCATAGCTTCCAAAAGCACACCAAAGCTTAGAACGTCAACCCTTAGCCAGTCATTTTGATCCATAGCAGAGGCTGATTTTGAATAGCTCCATCATAAGCCAAAATCATGATCATCCAGATTTCCCTCCCTGAACAAAAAATTCAGACCAAGAGAAACGTCAGCAGAAGTCATAGCATCTGGCAACCAAATCGACAAAAAGGAGGGGAAGCCTTGGATTATTAATCCGATTCATGCCAAAAGACAATCAGATTCATAAACATATTGTTCCACCTTGAGGATGAAAAGAGCTGGCAAGCTTCTAGTATTATAGCGAGCTCTGCCCCAATTAAATTATTCAAGCCAATAGAGCGAGAAAAGCGAATAAGAACCTCCCGTTGTGGTCTCGTAATGCCCCTAATACCAGTAGGGACTACGCTTCCACTAACCGCAGCGTTGACTTTGAATTCCAGCTTATTGATAGAAGGGGCAGTCCAGGAGCCAAGAGTAGGCCTTCGAGAGGCAACCGGTTGAATGGACGTGGCCAAAGGGCTAATGAATCGTTAATGGATAAGATCGAATTCTGCCATTTGATTCATAGCCAAGTACCATTGTGAACTAGCCAAATGGTCTAAACGATGTCTAGGAAAGGAAGCTGCCATAGCGGTTTA